GAATTTTGAACTTAGGGCAAACACGAGCCATGAAATGACGAAAGCCCTCCCTTTCACAAAATTTGAAAGGTTGCTCGTCAAGCATGATCATTTCTTCAAAAGCTAACCGTGATTCTTGTTGATTGAATAGCCAAGCTGATATCTCGCCTGGTTCGTTCGTGGAGGTACCAGCTTGGAAATTTAGATTCGGTTTTTGTAGCAACTCTAAATGTTTCTTCTCACAAGAGGCCTTATGGTTTTCAAGCCATTGGTGCCATGGTTGCTTGAGACAGATATGATGGCTCAACAACGATTACATTTTCCTTTCCGAACCTCAACCGGTGGTTCTCCTTTTGTAGTAAATAACGATGTGAAACCGACCTAATGTGGTGATCGAAGGCTAGATGCTTTCCTCTTTCTAGAATCCGATCCCATCGATGGTTCTTCATTAACCACAACATTACTTGCTCGTTGAGTTTGAGAACGGGTACATGCTCTTGACTAGTCATCGAAAATCAAATAACCCGAGAATAGACATCACTACGAGATAACCAAGAAGAACTTAACTACTAAAGTAGGAGCAAGAGCAACAGAAATTCAAATATAGATAGCTAGAGAAGCAAAAGTCATGGTTGTGGTTGTTTCATCTATAGAAAGAGATCGAGAGACTGAGAGACTGAGAGAGCACTACGAAAATTAAATAGCTTGTATGGTTGTATCTCTTCTGGAGCTCGGCTGCCTTTTTTCCACAATTAGAAGTAGGAGCACGAGCAGCACTACTCGGCAGCAACTGCGAGGGAATTGGAAGTATCAATTGAATTGAACTTGCCCAAAAGCACAACGCAGGCAGTACTCAGAAGTATCAATTGAAAACTTACCCAGACGATAAGCGAACAGATGTTGTCGACGCCGGGGAAGAAAGAGCTCGAAAGTCGAACTCTGATAAATGTTGTGGCTGATTGCGGAACGGAGGGAACGCCAGCGGAGAGGACACGGTCTCGTCTTCTTTCGTGGGAGAGCCAGAGGAGAGGAGCGGTCGGCGACGTCGGGGGTCGGGGCTGAGCGAGAAAGCCGGTGTTGGAAGGGATATCGCGTCGTCGAGGTTGGGCGGAGAGGAGTCAGGGAGAGGAGTCGCTATCGGGGAAGAGCATTGTTGCTAATGTTAGGTCAGTAGGTGGTTTGTTCTTCTGATGCCTTCTTCCGAGTCTGAGGCAAGGGAGCCTGGAGACTGGAGTCACGAGTTGTTTGTCGCGGAGTGAGGAAGAGGTGAGAGGCTAGGTCAGAGAGGATAGGAGATGGGCCTGGACTGGCCAACTGGACTCGGGCTGGGTTGGGTTGGGCAGGGCTCGAGCTCGGGTTGGTCTGGGCTCGGGTTGATTATTAAATTTCAGTATTTGTATATGGAATAAATCATAATGGTATTACAGCTACCCGCATTACCCAAACGGGTATTACCGGGTAACCCGCAAGTACCCAATGTTTAAACCCTTAATCCCAAATTGCATCGTGTAATAAATATTACGAGTATTTACCCATAACTCTAAAAAACGGGATAGGTTATGGATATACCCAAATAACCGTTTCTTGTTGCCCACCCTAAATGGTGGAGATCGACCAACTATGTAAAGAGATAAGGGCCAAAGTGAATGGGTTGGGTCGGCTAAGGTGAAATTTGCAGGCTGCATTTAGGGATGGCAATGGGGCGGGTTTGCCTAAACCATCCCCATCCCCGCTTTCAAATATCTAAACCCATACCCGCCCCATACCCGTGGGTTTCGGGTACCCATGGGTAATACCCGCCCCATACATCAACATTATAATAGCTAAAATTTTACATACAAAAATTTCAATTATAATATTTAACGCACCTACTATTTCATAAAGTCGACAAAGAGACAATCATTCTTAATATGATTCTAAGCATCTTATTCTAAAACATCCAATAATCCATAAGATAGAGTAACAATATAAGCTAAATCATTATTCTCTGACTTTTGTACATCTATTAAGTAATAACTTACTAATATAAAGTTGTTAACATGAGGGAAAAAGTCAAAGAATGAAGGAAGATTTGGAGGAAATGAATTGTGTGTTGATTTGGGTGGTCACTCAATTGTATTTCTACTATTTATTTTCATGATTTACCCTCGCTATTAACGATAAATTACAATTTAATCAATATACTTTTTATATGTGAAGAAATGTTCTTGGTGGGGCGGGTATGAGTATCAGAGTATGGGGCGGGGGAGACTAAAACCATACCCGCCCCATACTCATCAAACTGTTTGCGGGTTTTACCAATACCCGGTCAATGCGGAGATTTTTCGCGTTGACTGAATCGGGAGCGATCGGATACCCGTGGCCATGAGTTTGATTGCTAGAGGCGGGGCACCTTTTAGCCTACACTCTGTTGCTGGGATGCTGGGATGGGAAGAAATATAGGTAAATAGACCCCAATTTTCCTTGCAAGGATTGTGATGCTTTACATACCGGTTGAATGAAATAACACAGATTTTTCCATATAAATAATTCCCCAATTCAAAATACCTTCTTTTAAATAGACACAACAGTTGTTTTTGTCTGAAGAATGAATGGCAGGCGTCGGCGTCGGCGGCAGCGGCAGCAGCTTAGTTTTAAGGACACTAAGCCTAAAGAATCCGAAGCTCGTGTTGCTGGAAACCTGTTCCAACCTCTCCCACCTGAAAATCATCCATGCGCACATGATCACAACCCAATCCATCTCCGACGTATTTGCCGCCAGCCGCTTGATTTCTTCCTGCATCAACGCCGGCTTCCTCGACTACGCTGTTGAGCTTTTTCGCCGAGTCCAGAATCCAAACCTTTTCATTTTCAATGCACTGATCAGAGGATTTTCTGGCAGCCGGAACCCAGCTCAGTCATTCTGTTTCTACGTCCAGTCCCGGCAAGCCGGCGTCTTTCCTGATAATCTGACTTACCCATTTTTGGTCAAGTCGTGTGCTGAAATGGGTTCTTTGGGAATGGGAACTCAAGCCCATGCCGAGATTATTACCCATGGGTTTGAGAACGATGTCTTCGTCCAGAATTCGCTCGTCAACATGTATGCTCATCTCGGCGACATAGCCGCCGCTAGTTCCATTTTTCGTGGGATTACCCGGTTGGATGTTGTCTCCTGCACTTCCATGATAGCTGGTTACAACAAGATTGGGGATGTCGCATCCGCACGCCAACTGTTCGACGAAATGCCTGAGAAGAACTTGGTCACGTGGAGCACGATGATCAACGGGTATGTGCGGAACAATTTCTTCAATGAGGCGATAGAGCTCTTTCGCCTTCTTCAATCTCAACGGATTCGAGCTAATGAAAAAGTAATGGTCAGCGTGATTGCTTCCTGTGCTCATCTGGGAGCTTTAGAAATCGGAGAGAAGGCTCACGAGTACATTGTCATGAACAATCTGACCGTAAACGTTATCCTCGGAACTGCTCTTGTGGAAATGTATGCGAAGTGCGGCGCAATTGATAAAGCCCTCCAAGTGTTCGACCAGATTCCCGACAAGGATGCCTTGAGTTGGACAGCTCTCATCTCAGGCTTCGCAATGCATGGATATGCAGACAAGGCAGTCGAATACTTCACCCACATGTTATCCACTAGGATAACCCCTCGTGACATCACGTTTACCGCAGTTCTTTCGGCTTGCAGCCATGGAGGCTTGGTGGAAAAAGGGCAAGGCATATTCGACAGCATGCAGAGAGATCATAACATTCAGCCTAGGCTCGAACACTATGGCTGCATTGTCGATCTACTTGGTCGAGCTGGGAAGCTAGCGGAAGCTGAGAAGTTTGTCCTCGACATGCCGATCAAGCCTAACGCACCGATTTGGGGAGCATTGCTCGGCGCCTGCAAGATACACAGAAATGCCGTTGTGGCTGAAAGGGTGGGCAAGATCCTGATCGAGTTGCAACCCGAGCACAGTGGCTACTACGTATTGTTGTCCAACATTTATGCACGGGCGAACCAGTGGAAGAATGTCGAGAAGATGAGGGTGGTGATGAAAGAGAAAGGAGTGACTAAAGCGCCTGGTTTTAGCTTGATCGAGTTTGATGGTGTAGTACATAGATTCACCATAGGAGAGAAGGCTCACCCGGAAATCGAGGAGATCGAGAGGATGTGGGAAGATATAGTAAAGAAGATTAGGGTTGTAGGTTACCTGGGTAACACGGATGATGCTCTGTTTGATGTAGAGGAAGAAGAGAAAGAAAGTGTTATTTATCGACACAGCGAGAAACTTGCAATTGCTTATGGGCTCATGAAGAGTAGAGATAGAGGTAAGCCTATTAGGATAGTAAAGAACTTGAGGTTCTGCGAGGATTGTCATACAGCTACTAAGTTGATATCTAAGGTTTATGAGAGGGAGTTTATTGTTAGGGATAGGAATAGGTTCCATCATTTTAGAGATGGAACTTGTTCTTGCATGGATTATTGGTAATGGAAAGTTGAGAATCAAGGATATGAATTATGTAGCGTTAACTCGATCGGACTTGTTCTTTAGCTGCACCAGTTCTGTCACTTGTGCGTTAAAGTGATTTGATTTTCTTGTATCGGCCTCCATTAACAATTTTAGTCTATTGTAGCGTAGTGCTATATTTTCCCTTCACTTCCATATTCTTATTCTCTAATATGTCTCCTTGGTATAGAGAATCTGGAATTCTCGAAATAAACTGGTTTTTAAGATACCCAACTAGGACACAGCATGTTGCAAGGTTCAAACATCCCTTCTGCTTCCATTCTATCTTCAATCATCTCTTATGGTTTTACTCAAATTTTTATCATATTCACTTCAGTCTTAATCTGACAAATAAATTAACTTAGTCAATCTTGTCATTCTCTCTTAGAAAATGCTTCCCTCTTGTTTTTTACCCCCCATTAAAGATCGAATTGTTGCATTGCATGTCAAAAGAGATTGACTTGCATTTGCACCAATCCGTGTCTTACCTAAGCTTCATGAGACCAAAACCAAACAACTGGAAACAACAACAATTGTGTTCTCTGTTTTACTTCAAATTCCTCTTGCTTTGTCCATGTTTATAGCAGCTAGTAGCTGCAAAGATGAAAATAAATTGCAGAGGCTAAAAGAAAGGAAATGGTTTGATTCAATTCTAAACAGGCAAAAAGGTGAAGACCAGTAGTGTTTAAAAGGAAACCTCTCATGCTGGTGAGAGAGAGGCTATGTAAGAATTATCCCTATACTTCAATCCTGTTAAAAAGCCTGAGCTCAAGCAAGGAGCAACAATTGCTTCGGACAAGCCTAAAGCACTGCTACCACTTTCTTGTACTGTTTCCGCAACAGAGTTGGATTTCTCATCAAAATTCTTAATCGCAACATTCAAGCCGATCGAAGTGGGTTCTGTAGCGAAGCTGCAAAATTAATATCAATAAGGAATGTGAACGGCAATGGATTTGAAGAACTGTGTCTGGTTTTAGGCAAACCTAGCAAGTGATGCGGGAAGAGAAATGAGATTGTACTCGTACCTTGCCTCGAAGTTCGTTGCCTCACAGCTCATCAGGGCACAAATGCGGCTAACAATCCATGGCGGGATAAATGTTCCCTTTACTTCAATAATTGAGCTGAGAGTGACAGATGAGCCATCTTTAGGGGAAGCTTCAGCATGGTCAGCTCTCTTCATATCCACACAACTTATCTGTCACAGAGAGACTGATTCTTAGCAAGTTAAAAGCAGTATGGGAAATGCGTTGATATGAAGACAAAACTGTCCATAGCCTGCTTGGCATTGCATAGGAATACTAACCTCTGGAGCAGAAAGGGCAGCGTTTGGAAATGGAATAGGTGAATACAGTACTGGAACGTCCACTCCAGACAAGAGAGTCAAGGAGGATCTGTGAAGCAGGAAATGATACTCAGTCAAACCAACTTAACAATATATATTTCTTTGTCTGCTGCAAACACAAAGTGCACCACCTGTAATTTAAGAGGAAATCATAGAGTCCCTGCACATGTATATTTTCCTTGAAGGCCAGTAAGGATTCTGGGGTATTATCAACATTGTCCAAGGAACTAGGATTCCGAACCTGCATTGATTTAAAATGGGCAATAAAGTGAATTATCAAATTTCATATCACCAGATGTGGGATTGGACTGAAACTGCAGTTATGTTTCATGTTTAAGTTAGCAGCTCATCGCGGACCAAGAAAGTTCCAGTAAATAGACAAAATGTTGGGTGTTGAAACAGGAAAAGCGAGGACAAACCTGGCCCAAGTTTTCCCTCCGAATTGCTGCTAGCTCAACCAGATGTTCAGTGGCAACTTGCTCCACTTTGGAATGGCAAAGTGGCATAGAGAAGCACACATCCTAAGTCAAAACAGAGTAAATTATGCGCATATTAGGTCATTTTTGTTCCTTTATTGCTACCATCTCCACTGAAAGCATAAGGTTCCACCAACCTTGCACGTGTAAAAGTAAAACATATGCACACTAAGAGTAAAATGAGGACAAATATCATCTCTAAACCAATACGAAATGAAAGATCCAAAGTGCTGCGCTCAGCCTAATTGGCATTCGATTTGGAGCAGTTTAATTTCAGAAACTATCACAAGGTTCGGACAGAGAACACATAATAATATACTAACCATGTTCACAAGTCATGCTCAAGATAACAAAAAAAAACAGTCCAGATAAAAGATGGATCTCCTAGTACAAGATACATGGCAATAAAGATTTCCTCTGTTCAAGTCGATAAGAGGTTCTGCTCAAGAAAACAAATTCCCGGCGGTAAATAGAGATTCACTGAACATGAGATGCAAGATTTTTAGGAACACAGATATTACTTTCATATGTAAAAACATATATCGGGCCCCGAAACAGGAGGAAGACAATGAATATGTAGAACATTGATCAAGAGCCGGACAAAGATTATCCTAATTTCAGAATCAAGTGATGCATGGAAAGCACAAAAACTATACTGCAACTGATAATACCAGATTCAGCAGCTAGTAAAGGCATACAAATTACTGTGCAAGTAAAAACATTGCAGGTACATATCATACATGTTCTCTTAACAAAGACCGGAGATTTATAGTTGATTGCGAGATGTAGGCGCTGCACCCCGAGCCTCCACCATTGGTGAACATAACCACAAAGTGTGAAGTACAAACTACACAAGTTTCCAAAAAGAGGGGAGAAGTTTAGAATACACTCATAGCATGTCATTACACAATGAAATTATAGTTGATAAGTGCAACATGTTCCATTACAACTTGAACATGTTCAGATTCAAGAAAAAATACGAACTCTTAGATAAAGCTGCATACTTCCTAGATAGTTCTTTATTTTAAATCATTGGAAGATACGGCCTCACATACATATGGGGAACTTACCATAAAAAATGCTGCAAATGTTCTTGCGAAGCAAGTAATAGAGACTCCGAAACGAATCCGCCCAAGCCACTTGCCGTTTCCTTAGAAAATCTATCGATTGAACAGAAAGACAAAGTTCAGCACATGAAGATAACAATTAATAGAAATCATCAGAAACATATGTATGACAAACCTCCCTCTGCAGCTGATGAAGACAATACTGAAATGACAGCAGGTGGTAATGTAGATTGTGGATAAACCCAAGAATGTAGAGATTTAGGGTTACACAATTGGGAATTCAGGGTTTGTAATGGGCCACAGCTTTCTTCAGCACAGCCCTGTTGAAAAATGAACTGTGGAGTGGTTCTGTATGTGCTAGACAAGATTGACCTGTGAAACCTGAACATGTTTAAACAGTTGGGAATAAACGTGGCTTTCTGATAAAATCATTCACATGGGTGAATGCAATGCATGGTTCAGCGACTAACACGTTGAATGAAAACATTTGCATTGCAGGTACATCTGTACATACCCACTCACTGAGCAAGCACACAACAGTCGCATTTTTGTTTTCAATGTAAAATCGAGTGGAGGTTTCTTGCCAGGTATGCAGCACTCTGAGCAGAAATTGTCAGAGTAATGGCCTGATTTCCCAGTGGTATCAGTATTTAAACGTGAATGGCTTGCAGGTTCACAAGCAGCCAATCCTTTCAAGGCCTTATCCTACAAAAACAAAGGAAACAACTTGTAAGAATAATGCACATCTAGTTACTACAACAAAAGAGGAACAAAACAAAATCATACCATGTCAACAACTGCAAGGCCTGAGGATTGTTTCCCATAAGTCGAAAGCTCAGCAACTGTACGAAATATATTTTGACTACATTTTTCAATTGTTTGGTGAGCTTTTGTGCTACAATCTGTTGAGACATCCACATGAGCTACAAGTTTCTCCGAGCTGAAAGGAGAGTGTAGGATACAGCAAATCAGAACATGTATAACTTCCATTAACATGAGGTCAGGTCGAACAAATACCAGGTTTCTCGCTTCTCGGGTGCCAAATTGGTAAGAATGGGAAGATTCTTCAGATTGTCAAGTTGCTCGGTTGATTTGTCTTCCTGCTTTCCAAAGAAAATAAAGCATGTTACAATCTTTCAAAAACAAAGTTCTAAGCAAAATGGATTGACTAGGATCACCTTTACTTTCTCTTTCACAGGGAGGATCCCCAATCTCGACTTTTTAATGGGATACACTTCATCCAGGCGAGTATGAATATACTTTGGATTCCTGAACACATCAGGTTTCTTAACCCCATTCTCTGCCTCGCCAGTGTTGCTGGGACACAATAAAGTAATTGCCCATGAATTAAACCCTCGGAATGGAAGAGACCAATCGACTTAAGCAGAAGATAAGTTGGAAACTCACTTCGTTTTCCCAGGCATAGATAGCTTAGATTCCCCCATAAGCTCAGCTATACTTGTCCTCCTCAACTGCTCTCGCTGCAGTTCAAAAGGAATGTTGGATAATAAGTCCTTCTAAACTGAACCACTAGATGAACTAAGAACTTGGCGCCTGTGAAAGCTTAAAGACCCAAACTTTGAACATTGAAAAGATGAATCAACAACTGGAAACGTACTCTGAGGTCAGACGGCGTCTTCCTCTTGGCCATCGGACCAACATTTAAAGGACCCCCGCCAATTTGCAGAGAATTGGGAGGTAAAGAAGCAGGCGGCGCCACTTTTGCCATTAAAGAACTCTGAATCACTTAACCGCAACCCGTCCGCCACTCAGCTCACAACCTAATAAGTTCAATGGCTTCTTATTATGCAATAAGCAAAATAAAAAACTGCTGAGAGGATCAAAACAGATTCAAACGCACGAAAAAGTATTACAAAATCACCTCATCAAGCGGGAAATCTGCAGCTCCCTGAAAGCACCCAAATCAGCCTGCAGTTATCTATGAAGAGAACCTAAATAAAGTTCTTCCGAGCAAAAAGCATCCAAAGATAATCTACCAATCACTCCGCTCGGCTCAAACAGTCCCGAAACCTAGGGTTCTGGTCGATTGATTTCCGGTCAGGATTGAGAGAGCCGCGACGACGAATCGAGCCACCGCCGGGCAAGCGGCCACGATGACGACGGAGGAGACAAATCTGGAAGAAAGAGGGGATCGGAGGGAGGAGGGAGATGGAAAGGCAGAGACGAAGAGAATAGTGGGCGTTTGCCTGGCTGTCTCTCTCGCGGCAATAAAATGAAATCGGGGGGAAACTGTGCGTAATTGCTTTTGGGTTTGTGTTTGAACTTTGAACAATTCATTCATTTTCATTTTCCCTCCTTCTGTAGCTAATGGCGTTATTCTCTAGACGTTAAACGGACAGTTGACTTGACGGGTCCGTTAGTCAGTTAAGTCTTTTTTTTTTTTCTTCAAAAGACTCTACACTATGTTTGGCAATCGGGAGTGCAATTTCGGTGTGTAAGTTGAGGTGTAAATTATAAGAGGGAGCAAATTATAAGTGAATGTAAATTGAGATGCAAATTGTTGTTTGGTATATAAAGTAGGGGTGCAAATTGTGTTGGTAAAACATAAATATGAATATAATAATTATCATAATTAAAAAAGAAAATATAAAACAAATAAAACCCACCCATTTCCAACGTGCTCACTCTCTATGGCCCACCATTCTCTCCCTCATAACCAAAAAGCTCACCCTTCCTTCTAATATAATAATCAAACCCCACTCATCTCCTCCTTTGCACCTGGATTTGGAGAGGAGAGTGGAATAGTAAATTTGGCCCTACTTTCTCCATCCCTGCAACTATTCAATTTTAACCAAACAGGTGCAATTATCTCGGTAATGTCATTTACTCCCCGTAAAATACACCCCCCTCTGCTTGCACCTCTTCCCAAACAAAGGGTACATACCAAAAACTCAAACACGATTACAAAGTGTGGGGAGATTACATTAAGGGTTGTTTGGAACCTTTGATTTTGGAAATGATGTATTACAAGAATGTGTATTAAACATTATTTGTATGCTAAGAAAGTGTGGGTTTGAAAATTCATTGTTTGGAAACCATAAAAGAATACATGGATTATAGTTTAAATGAATTATGGATACTAAAATCTCACCAAAAAGGTAAGATTCACTATACATCATTTTCTATGTATTAGGAATACAACATGGACTATGAATACATGCATTTTGTTGTTACATCAAGTCAAAAAACGTTGTATTCTATAGAATACATGTATACTGAGAATACAACGTCTGGAATCGGAGGTTCCAAACGAGGCCTAAGGATGGTGATCCAACCCTCGGGAAGATGGTGTTTTGCACATGAACGAGCAACCCTGTTGTCTCAGACATTTGCAATCAGGATCATGCGAATAGCCTGCTAATCTTCCACCGAGTGTTGAACCCCAGAACCTAAAAAATACCAGTCATTACTACTCTAATTGATAAGATCGCAAACCCTCCTCATATCATTGACAAGGCTTACAATGCTCCCATCATTTCTGGTTGGGAACCGGAGCTCATTGAAGATTCTGGTATTCCTGCTATTCCCAACAACCTTAACTAAATCATACCCCATCCACTTCCTTACATCATAGATACTTACCCAAATCCATGAAGTTCGACATCCATTTCGGGTTTCTCTGAACTCAGCCTTAGAAAAGTAGAGACCCTTAAGAAGCTTAACCCATAAAGCATTAGGAGATGAAATGATCATCCATGCTTGCTTTGCAAGCAAAGCGAGATTGAAAAACTAAAAAAGGCTGAAACCCAAGCCACCTTCATCTTTAGGGGGCATAGAGGACATTCCCAGCTCTCTAGCGTATGGTTTCCTTCATTGTTGATCCTTACTAGAAAAACCTCTTGAGCATGCTATCCATCTTATTAGTAGTAGCTTGCGAGAACATGAAAAATACACATAAAGTAGGATGGGATAGATTGAAAGATCGATTCGAGAAGAATCTCTTTTCCTCCTGGTGAAAGAAGCAAGCTTTTCCAATTTTCTCCTTAGGCTTCCATCATATCAATCATGAACTTAAAGGTTTCTTTTTCTTATCTGCCCCAGGAAGTAGGGACTCCAAGGTAATTGGAGTGGCAAATCTTGTTCTCGAACCCAAGCAAACTTGTGATGGCATGTCTCTTAGCTTCAAGCACATTGAAGCTAAAGAAAACTGATGACTTGGCTTTATTAATATCCTGCCCAATGAGGGCTCAATAATCCTGAACAATCTCCATCAGACGAGAAGCTTCCTCCCGTGAGGCCTCCCCAAAAAAGGCAGCATCATCAGCAAAAAGGCAGTGGATAAGGCGAGGGCACCTGCTATTGAGCTTAAGGCCTTTAATGAGGTTGGTAAAACATGACTTCTCAATAAGGAAGGAGAGAGCATTCGTCGTGAGAATGACAGGAGAGGGGAGAGAAGGTCACCCTATCGAATTCCCCTCAAAGGAGAGAAAGCTCCAGATGGCATTCCATTGAAGAGAACCCTGAAACTCACAGTAGAAATGCAAGTTCTATCCCAATCGCACCAAGTAGAGTCAAAACCGTAGGCCTTGAGAATGTTGATCATGCATTCCCACTCGACAAGATCATATGCTTTTTGCATATCAAGTTTCAGCACCATATATTTCCTCTTTCCTATTTTATGTTTTTTGAAGTGGTTGAGGACTTCATGCACAATAATAGTACTGACCCGAATCTGTCTTCCCCCTGTAAAAGCTGACAACAGCTCAGAAATCTAGGATGAAAGCCAAACTTGAAGTCTTGTAGTCATTATCTTCGTAATAACTTTATATTTCAAGTTGCAGCAGCAAATAGGGCGAAAATGACCAAATGACTCCGAATTAAGAACCTTTGGGATGATGGTGATAAAAGTATCGTTCCATCCTGGCTGCAAAATGCCATCCATGAAGAAGCAATTGATTTATACACAGAACTGCTTCTCACATAACTCCCAGTAACATATGAAAAACAGGCCTGGAAAACCGTCAGGTCCTATCGCTTTAGACGATGCCAAATCAAAAACTGCTCTACGAATCTCATCATTAGTCAAGGGCGCGATGAGTTAGACATTCATTTATGGACTCACCATTCTAGGAAAACCTTCAAGGTTGAAATAGAGGGAGGAAGGGTCTTTAGCTGTAAACAAATCCTAGTAGAAGCTCGAAGCAAGGCCTCTAAGAGTTGCATGATCATCAATCCAATCTCCTTGATCATTCTTAAGTCTCAGAATCCGGTTTTATTTCTCCTTTTAATAGTTGAGACATGAAAGAAAGATGAGTTTTGGTCACCTTCTTATAACCAATTCAATCTGGATGTCTGTGCCAGGAATTCCTCTTCCTTTTCCCAAAGAACATGTAGTTCTTTAGTAAGCAACATTTCTCCATCCCTAAGGGAGCCCTCTCCATCCAAAACCTCTAGCTGGAGAAGCCTCGTCTTGATCTTAGTCTCCCTCTTGACTTTAGTTCGTCGATCTTCCTTAGCCCAAACATTCAGCTCATTACCACATCTCTGTAACTTTGAGCTCATATCCCCTTCCTCTTCCCAAATCTTATGCACGATTTGAGTATAGCAATCGATAAACCGCCATCTCTTGTCAAAGCGAAAAGGGGTGACACTATTATCTTCCTTCAAATCCAGAGGTTGCTCATTTGGGTCATTTGGGTTCGAGTCAGAGGTTGCATAACGAGCATTTTATTGATTGATGTTGGACTAAAGCTTAGAGATATGTTCAAGGGAGGTATTCTCTTGTTGTTTGAAGCTATTGCATTTACTAAAAACTAGGTTATAAAACTTTACTTGATTCCACTAAATCTATTTCTTAAGAGTTTCCAAGTTTTGTGTCACAGGCCATAACTATACCGATGAGTTCATGAAAATAGCCTTTGATTATCCTACTCAACATTAAACCAATATAATCAACTTAATGATCTGGTTAGGTTATATAGTCCATAGATCCATACTGACAGGACTAGAATTTCAACTCTCCATTTTGCACAAGGGAGTACTTCAAGTATTTAGTTGCAGAACTGAGCAAAAGTCGGAACATTAGTGAAAGTATCAGTTGATGTGATTCGGGTCTAAATGCACACATTTTTACCCTCATTACTTGATAGCTTAACTTGCATTTTATCGTCTCTTGACCTATTTTACGCTAGGTTGTGCTTGTTTTGTTACATTTCAGGTCCTAGCACGTGTAGGAAGGTCTGACTCACTCCTACTGTCACTCTAGAAAATGGCCAAGTGTAACCACTTCCTAAAGCGTAGTATAGCGGGTTTGGGTTTTATTGTCAACCCGGGTCCTAGATGTGATGACTACTCGGTGAATTCTCGTTATCTACCAGTGAACTTTTAGTGCAAATTCAAGCAAACAAAAACACAAAGCAAGTAAACGGTTGTTCAAGTCAAGAGAGGTCACCTGGATATGGTTCCCCCTAGACTGTAGTTAAGTCGGATTGCAATTTACCAAGTTCAGTTTTCATGAAAGTTATACTGCGGAAGGTTCTTAATTAGTCTGAAGTCTCGACTAAAGGTCTTCAGACCCTCTCAATCTGAGTCTCTAGCGGGCGAATAACCTCCACCGGAGTAAACAGATTGAGGCCCTAGCGAACCAAACCTCCACTACCGAATTGAGTTCGGTACAGAATAGCGAATTGGCTCCTCGACTAAAGTCACCAATTCGCCACCTTCGATTAAGGATACTCTATCAACCTAGGCAGATATTCTCATTCTAGGTCAAAGCAGAAACAACAGGAATTTGATCAGGATTCAAGTCATTCAATCATTCAAACCTCAATCGAATATAATCAATTCACAAACTCTGTACTTGGGTTCATACAATCAGACCTAGCATACAAATCTAGGGTTCCCCATACCCAGATGAATGGGGGAACTACTCCATAGAGAAAGAAGCAAAAGCAGATTCAGACGCGGAAATCATACTGCGAAGATGGATTTCTGCTCCTGGACGTTTAATCGGCACTTCTCCAAGCTCAAGCCGGGCTCCAATGGTGATGAAGATCAAGCTATGGCACTTGGGAACTCTGGTTCGTCGCTTTCTCTCTCTAGGGATCTCTTTCTCTCTCAAAAACTCGGAACCCTTCAACGTTGGCCTTCTTCTTCCTTTTATCAGCTGCCAGATCGCGATACCCGGTCGGGTATTTTGGATTTCGACCGGGTATAATCAAAACGCACCATTCCGTTCAAGGGGAAAATCCCCGGTCACTCTCCATAATCCCCGACCGGGGGTTTAAGCTGTTTGC